TTTTGCGGAGAATTTGGCATCGAGTCATGCGGTTCGTTAGATGAAAGACAACAAAGCAGAGCGTCCCATGTGAACTGGGTGGGTACATTTTTTGTTTTTTTTTGTTTTTTTTTTTTTTAATTTATTGTTCACTTTTTTGTCCCATGCCATTTTAATAGTTAATTATACATCTATATTATTTATCTCTGGCGCAATGGTAGCTCCGATTAAACAGAAAAAAACAAGCAAATTATTTACTGTTAACTATGTACGTCCACTTTTTTGTTTAATGATTAAATGTGATATGATTTAATGCCCAAAATATTCAGCTGTGAAATGGATTTGTTTAGAAGCAGTAAGTAATATTTATAGCTAATTTAGTGAATTTTTGAACTAATTTATGTAAAATTGATATTTAATATAATTCGTAATTTTCACAAACAACAAATTAAAAAATTCCACAACAATTTTTAATCTAAATTTAAGAATGACAAGCGAAAGGCAGTTGAATATTGCGTGATGAATATAAAATTATTAAAATTATTTTAGAAATCCAAAACAAGTGAATCGTCACAAAGCTATGCACAAACGATTTGGTTGGAATTTCAGCTTGGTATTTAAATTATGAATTAATGGTATGGCGCACAGGGGTCTTTAATGATATATAGGTTAATATTAAATTTAATTTTTAAAGTAATTATGCTGCTCTTCTGGGCTGTCAGTAAACCTCAAAGTTGTGTATAGGAAGGAGGTGGAGCTGGCCAAGAAACCAAGAGAAACAGCTTTAGCACAAGTTAATTATGATGTGTACTCTTTATTGTGTGGGTGTGTGTGTGTGTGGCTTGTGTGTATTCATCGTCTGCGAGAAAACCACGAGAGTGTTGAAAACATCAGCACATTAGTAATAAGAGTTCTAAGTATCATCGTCTCGAGTCTAGACAAACATTGCCTTCCCTGACGACTCTTGCTTAATATACTACGTAAATTGATACGATTATGTGCTGGCATTTGGAATTAATAATTAAAATGTTTCATTTACATTCTCAAATATACGTGACCAACTCAACTCAACGTACCCCAAGGCATGAGTTTACAACTGAGGCAAAACGAACTTGCATTCCTTAAATTCGTTTTGGGGTTTTCAGGCTCTATTTGAATGCAGCTGAAGAGAAGACCTCTTTCCATAATAACTAAACTCTTTATTAAATCATTTCAGAAAAATATAGTGGATCTATGTTATCATAGAAGCAGCATTTGTATGAGTGGGATTGTAGCTCTCCCTCTGTTCACACTCTTCTGACTCAGCTATCTACCTACACCTATACCCATACCTATACCTATAGCTATACCTATAGCTATACCTATACCCATACCTATACCTAGACCTGTGACAACCCAAATTGCATTCGCTTTTAGGCAAAGCTTTTTAATTATTTATTTTCACCTTAATATGTATAAATTTTATTTTTGAAGAGCAGAATTAATTAATGCAAGCAATATGGTAAAATTCCCATGCAATTAAGCATTCCTCAAAATAATTTAATAAATAAATTTATTTCAGCTATAAGTAGAGCAGCCTTCATATTTATTTTATGTGAATCGAAGCTGAAACTGAAGTTAATGCAAGCTAAAATTTGATGATAATCATTTCAGATTCTTTTCCTTGTTATATACAATAAAATAAAATACGTTTATATTTATAAAATAAGTTAGTAAATATTTTGTGATCTGAAACCAATTCCAAACCAATTCCATTATTACATTATTTTATCATTTCGATCCTACTCCAAAAAGTATGCTATACATCATGATGCAAAGGGTAGTCAAATGACTCACTCAAAGGGCTGCAGCAGCGACACAAACCCAAACTATAAAATAAAAATGTAAATCTAATAAAAATAGAATAGGCAATGAGAACTCAAAAGGATTGACGTTAAACCAATTGTAAAATTCAATTTTCGGCTTTGATTGCCATAAGGCGATATAAGCTGAAATGTTTGGGAAGTGTTCAAATAGCGAGAGTTATCTATTTTTATTTAATATTTTTAAATAGCAATTTGTTTCAATGCTTGTTAAGTTTTACGAAATGTGTGAAGAAGAGCAGCTTTAGAATGTAATTTCTTATATACAACTTTAGATGTCGAATGGTTTGATTTATATATTCTTTACTTATTTAACACACTTTAAAAAATATATATATAAAATATTACCTATTTTATATTCCTATAAACTCATACTCATTCTATATAATGACATCAAACATAATTCACATATTTTACTCCATTTTTAAATGATTTATGCCAACAATATAATCTAAATATCATCATCATCATCAAAAAAATGTAAATATATTCACAAAATTCAGTTTCTTTGTATGTCTTCTTCTTCATTCTTCACATGTTTCCCTCACATGATTTGGTCCAAAATATATCCCATTTTATATGCACATATGTACATCATAAAGTATATATACATTATATTCACAAAAAGCAAACCCTTTCTATATCTTAAAGTCTTCATTCATTCAATCAGTCGAGAGAAAGATTTACATAATAGAAAGCTCTATCTTCTAATCTCAAAACTACGCCCATGCTCAATAATACTTTACAATCTTGAGTTCATTTTATTTTCCTATAACTTTTTACTAGCCTATCGATTCTTCGTTAACCCCTAACATTTAAAATTCACATATTGGTTTGGAACTTATTATTATTATGGTATATGGAATGTGACTCCACTAAGCTAAGGTTTCGTATAATAACAATCAACATTTTATCTTAAGCCAACAAGAACTGGAGCAGAAGCAGATCTCAGGAGCTCTCTACTTGCTTGCGGTGTACGATAGATTTGTTAAGTGGGCATTGCTCTGGGTATTGTCGTCGGTCTCCTTATCCCTGGGCGTCTCGGGATCTTCGCGCTCCTCCTCCTCGTCGATGATGCTGATGTCGCGTATGGAGGGACGATGACTGCGTCGCCAGCCGGTGAGAATCTGGGGCTGCTTCGTCTTTTTCAGCATTCTGGTGCCCGTGATGGATATCAGGATGGCACCGAGTGGAGCTGTGAGGACGATGCTGAAGACGCAAACGGTTTGCACAATTTCGGCCCATTTGCGCTCCTCGGCTGAGGCATCGCTACCCAGATTCTTCAGTGCGACAGGCCCCAGAGCAGCCTGCACTGTCGCCTTGGCCATCCAAGAGAGGCCAACGAAAAACTTCTCCTTGGTGTTAAGTCGATCGCCGACGGCAATGCCAGCCGTGATGAAGATGCGTATGATGACGCCTGCGAAGATGCAGGCCGCTCCTATGGAGACTGTGTGCGAGTCCAGCTCGTTGATTTTGATGGTGGCACCGGTGAGGCCAAAGAGAATTGGCTCGAAGATCATCCAGAAGATCTCGAAGGCCGTCGATACGGGATTGTCGTCGACCTCCCAGCCGTCTTTGCACCAGAACAGATTCGATACGAAGGATGAGAAGACCACGCCCAGCGGACCAAGGCCCTCAAAGCCCAGCTCCTCGCTGCCATAGATGGCCACCAGGTTGCCAGCGAACAGCATGAGCGTGCGAAGCGGCACCACATAGGCGTCGCCCTTCTCGGGAAAGATGCGCGCAATGGAGCCCCAGATGACGCCAAAGGCCAGGCCGCCCAGAATGCAAACTGGCGCCTGGGCAATCTGATAGCCCAATCCCTTGTCCGAGAACATAATTGTACTGACGATGCCAAAGA